TACAATGACCAGGTTTCCTGTGGAAATGCAAATATCTGCCAGAGCATCAATGAGCCTTTCGTCATCATCTGAGCCGGAAGTTTGGTGGTCTATATATTAATACTATTCTAAAAAATTTTGACGAAAATATGTCAAGTCCCTCAAGGCACAGAATCTCCGAGTTTGAGCAGGAAGGGGTGGCGATAGAAATTAGATTTATAGTGTCTCTGGCTAGACAGCAAACTCCACCTCCTTTACGTCCTACGCGATCGAGGCGAAAAATATTATAAGAACGGCCAGAAAGAATTTCACCATCCGTGATCCTAGGAGATAGCCATGTTTCGGTGATGAATATCATGTCAGGGTTGTACATATCAGGAATAACTGCAGGTGGTGGAGCTTGTTACCTAGACTTCTCGAGTTAAAAAGAAAACATTTGATTCCTAGGGGTCTACCAGGCAGAGTTAGGCGTTTTCCGACACTTGTAATGGTTGAGCGTTTCCCTGTGATGGCTGAGCGCTTACGGTCACCTGTGATTTAGTTATCTCATCAGAACGCCACAACTCTCCTCTATAAACAACCCAAACTCTGCTCTTTAATTGGTCGTTACGTGCTTTGCATTCCTGCCGCAGTTTCTTCTCACGGTCACGTTCTGCAGGTGTCATGCTCCTGCGAACAAATATATCCGATAAATCTGAATTTCGTAAGCGATGACTATTCCTGAGAGCAGTGAGCCAGTGGCTCTTGGATGGAAGAACCACTTTAGTTAGGCGTGGGTGTGACCCCCGGCTTACCCATGCGGTAAACCTCCAAGGGTCTGCATTCGACGTCCAATATGTCCAACACCTCTGTCACCTTCGATTCCAACTCCTTCTGTTTGCTGGAGGGTGGCACGTCAGGCGGTGATTCGGGTATACCATATATGACCAATCAACAGCTTCTACAATAGACTGGGGTAATAGCAACAAGAGCATTTATGAGCTTACCCATGAGTGGGTCTTTAACCTTCTCGTTATGCTCAATCATAGCACTGACCACCTCGTTTAGAGACATGTTGGCTATATCCGAGTCAGAAGGGGCAACTGTTCAAGAAGTATTAGTCTGCGTTTTCTTAGTGTTGGACATCACCGGGTACGTGATCTTGTCTGGGACATATTGAACTCTTTGTGATCCCAATAAACAGCAAATCGATGAAACGAAACTCGACTTAGCTGCACACGGTGCTTAATCAACGATCACGCTGCTCAGCAGGCCGACCAGATATAATTGTATGGTGTATGATAAGAATACCACGTCGTAACGATGGATGAAAATTATAGCAAACGAATAGGAAATCGCATTAACAGGACGAGAAGAAACACGACCGCACAAGACGGGCGACACAAGTCGATTGATGCGACACAAGTCGATTGTTGACTTGTGTCGCATCAATCGACTGTCGCCTTATGGGGAAAGCTATACAAATTGAAACGCTTGAGAGGAAATGAAGCAGTCGTGCTTCCTTTCTCAAATCTAGGGCGATGGTGCGTTCAGGAAATAAAAAAAGACAAGTATGAAAAAAGAGCGCTCGAGTGTGCAAAGTGGCCAAAATGATGATAGGGCCAGTTTCAGACGAACAGGTCCATTTATATTGGAATTTGCATGACTTACGTTATTATTGCTGTTAACCTCAACATAAGACTGCTTCGTGAATGGCATAAATTATCGAATCTTGGAGATATATCGAGGCATGGTCGTCACGAGAAAGTAAGTTTTCTTTTTACGTTCCACATATGTGAATGTTCGCTGGTGTGCAAAACTTAAGAACGAGATAGATAAAGTTACCTAACTTATCGATAGCTTTGTGGACATTTTGGCGGTTCCTGTCATTGGCATCATATACCATACATGTATTAGAGTAGTTCTGTCTATGAGTGGTTAGGTTTTGTAGGCTATGTTACTAAAACACGTCACTAAAAATTTAGGTTCGTCCTTAAGTTTGGCACACCAGTGTACTTGGTGGGCGCAGGTGTCGTGCTCCGTTATGCACGAATAGCGAGTGCTGTTGGCGCTGCCATACTCCATCAGCTCTAAGTGTGGCGAATAGAACAGTTGAAAGTTTGCTCCAGGCTCTAGCGTAAAAGTGCAAAACAGTAGGCGTGAGCCCTCTCTTTTGTCACTGTCGTTGCGCACCTCTACGACGAGCGAATGCGTGAAGAGTGCGCAAGGTGGATGGGAGAAACCCGTCACCTGACGCCATTCCAATCACAAGCACGATTATCGCTAGAAATCACGAAGGCTCAAGTGGGACTGCACTATCTCCTGACTTTAGTTTCATTCTGGAACAGCCTTGTCGCCGTTTCCAGGGACGACAAATTCGTTTCTTGATAGCAATACCATCACTCATGGTCAGTCACACAGACAATGAGTTTGAATCAACTGTATTCCTGCCCTAGTTGAACGAGGGGGTTCGTTTTAACACACGTGAAAGGGGAAGGTAATTGTTTTTACCCTACTTCTTCACGTCTGATCATGAGCGCAAGGTTGCTTAGTATGTGTACTTCAAATTATATTGGATCGCAGCTTCAGACCTTTGCTGCCACAATAATAACACAACTAGGCGATAAGCCTCTACAGAAGCTCTTATAGAGAGAGGAGTAAGGCTTCAATGCCTCCGCGACCTTTCACTACAGAACAGGGAGTGGTGTGTCATACACAGCTGAGGATATTGGTGCAATGTGGTGTTGGTGCCTATTGGTGTAAGTGGCTCCAAATCTTTTCAAACAAACAGAACGAAAGTGGTAGTAGTTCCATGTGCACTCGAAAACTTCTCAGAATCTGTATATTCAGAATGGAGTGGGAAGGTTTTTAATAGAAAGTTATACAGTGGCGTCAACAACTTTTTGAAAGTCAAAATTTTGTAGCTTTTTGATAAGAAATACGGAATTGTGATACAACCAAAATAGAGAAAGTTTCGGGTGGTGATTCAATAAACTGAATCAAATTCAAATCTTTCCAGCAGTGACAGATTTTCATCGCAACAAGACCAGTGGAGTCATAACCTCTTGAAGGAAGAAAAGTTCCCATTCCTACACGGCGCATGAAACGGAACTGGACTGCTTTATTTTAGATTTCTTGTCCTCGTTCAAATATGATGGCTATTAGAAGATTTTATGCCATTTTGGTCACACTTTTTTCACCAGTTTTTCAATCAAAGTCTATTTGTAAGGGTCCTAATCATGAATATGGTACTAATTATTCATGCTAACTCCATTTTGCGCGAATTTTGGAAACGTCAACTCGAAATGCAAAAATTTGTCACCACGAGGAATCGAACTAGGGACCCCCTTTTCTGGTATTCAGAGGGCCGTTCAGGAAAAATATGGTTCTGTGGTTCCCAAATTTGACCCAGTGTAATGATCCGGTCAGTACAACGTAGCTTAGGCGCTTCTCTAACAGCGGAGGTCGCTCAGGGTGTGCCAGACTTTTTCAAAATGAGGATTCGGACTTGCGATTGGAAGTTCCGCTTAGCGTACTCTTCTCATCACTCTTCGTCACTCGTAGTAGAGGAGTACGCTAAGTGGAACCTCCAATCGTAAGTCCGAATCCGCATTTTGGAAAAGTCTGGCACACCCTGGGCGACCTCCGTTGTTAAAGATGCGCCCTAAGCTACGTTGTGCTAACCGAAGTGAAGGGTAATCGAAAGGGACCAGAAGAGTACGCTAAGCGAAACCTCCAATCGTAAGTCCGAATCCTCATTTTTTTGCAGCTATGGCACGGCATTAAGGTTTTGTGCTTTCGTGAAATTAATTGAATTTATATTAGTTGAGAAGACCCCTCGATGAAGTAGCGCCATGCAGGTGAGCTGTGTGCGGAGGTTAACAGTAATTGTCCTTTCTCACAATTAGTATTAGGTCGGTCAAAAAGTCCGCCGTTTTGCACCTCGAGTAGTCCCCTGCATTTTTTGATAGTTTCTTTCGCAACTATTCAAACAACTTGGGTGTCATCTTATAGAGGAAGATCAGCCCTTTCATATTCATACGAAGGTTCGAGGTGATTCCGAGAACATTTGTCGTTTTACCCTCCTTTTTAGGATAAGCAAAATCGTGATTTTCGATTGTTGCCACTTCATGTCTTCAAACTTGGAATAGACACGCCAGGGCCAGCTCGTAATATGGCGACTGCATTGAGAAGGAGTGCTGCTAGGAAACGCATAGCGCAAGATTAGCTCGGCAGGCTTGGGCCTGGAGAAATAAAGCTCGAAAGTGATGCGCGTAGTATAAGGAGTGCCCTCAATGTACGGGATTGTAAAAAAGAAATGAAGAAGCTTATCACTGATACCCAACTACAGGTGTGGTATTAGAGGTTGGGTCTCTAAAGGCACCGAACTCAGCCTGGTGGACGCTGTGAGAAAGCAGGAAAAATGTCGTCAATCTATTCACCGGAGTAACCCGTGCTGGCAGCTTTAGCAGTTGCGACGCGCGTGGAGGTGTGTGCTTGGACTCTTCCTTGCAACAGTAAGGAACAGTTTTCAAGATGGGTAATAGTGTGGGGTAAGACTATGCTTCTGCACGCTAACAGTGAAAGGGTTACCAAATATGTGGACGAAACCAAGCTGCCTTGGAACGCTGCAAAACCTGGAGCGCCTCCAATAAGGATTTTCCTCAATTTTCGATGGCCTAGCTCATTTCAAAGTCCGAGAATTGACTCATTCGACGACGGCCGAGTCCTGTCGTAAAGAGTAGAACATAAAACATAAGAAACTACGGGGATGATAGTCTGCTTCAAGGAAAAAATGAGGTCCAGTCCTTCACCACGATAGCGCTAAATCGCCCACCGCAAAATACGCTCTGTAGAATCCATTCAGAAATGGCTCAGAAGTTCTTTTGCTATCCTTTATATAGCCCAGGTACATCTTTCACGAACCACCAATTCCCCGCTTTTCAACATAATTCTTGGAGGAGAAATCGCGTTGAGAACTGAGGCATGTCAAATGCGCCTTCCTACAGCTTTTAGCCTATAATAAATTAAAGATCTATAGGAAGGGAAGTTCTTAGCATGGGTCTGATTGAGAACAATCTGCTGGACATAGCAGTTTTTATTTCGAACAAAAAGATTGTGTTTCAGCAAAGTTGTGGTGCTTCAAAATTAGGGGGTCAAAACGGCGGATACTTTTTGACCGACCTAATACTTCATAGTGAAGCAGTGCCACACTGTTCCATCATTCAAAAGCACACAAAAAATTATGTTGGCGCTAATTGGCTCCAAAGCTCGCACATGAATGAACTGGAAATTTTACTGACGGCGCAGTCAAATCCCACGCAAATTTTATGCAGTTCAGTGGGCTCAACTGAATGACGCTCTTAAGCTCTTCATTATCTATCTCGGCTCAAATCGATGTTTTCATACTTAAAACCTTTTATTCGAGTCTCGAGAACAAAGAAAGTTTCGCTGCATTGGCACTGTTTCTGGATTGAGTGTCGCTGTTGAGTGTTTTGTGCACTTTATAAGGAGATTCTGAGGCAGGGTCAACCCTACGTTGTTACGAGTAACAACGGGGGGGGTCGTACCTGGTTGAGTTTGTAGGAGGGGGGTCGTACCCACTTTAGTCGCTCGAAATCACGTGTGGGATTGAGGTGAAACTAAGATTTCGTGGGTAGTAGGCTGGGCGAGTGGAGGGCGCGCAGGATAAAAATTTGCCGTTTCAGGGCGTATATACCCCCCCCCCCCGCTCGACGGCATTTTTGGAGGAAAAAGTGGGCGGGGTTTTGATGGAAGATGGAGATGGTGGAGGTAGGGAAAAGGGGGTCGTATCAAATCCACCTTGGGGGAGGGGGGTCGTAAAAATTTTTCGAAAAGTAACAACGATAGGACAGACCCTGGTCCAACTCATAGCGTATTTTCCAAAAGCCTGATCTTTTTCCTGTACAAAGGCAGGTATTGGCAGCATACCAAATTGCCTTTTTTGAGTCGTTTAAGTGACTGGATAAACGATCAGTTTCGGAATATAGACGGAGGGAGGGGGAATCGAGAATGAAAGTCCTAGAACTTCAACTAAGCAAAAAGAATTTTTT